GTGGCTCACAGCAGTGACACGGCACTGCAACAGCACTGACCAACAAGCAGCAGCAGCAGTGCAGCAAGGCTTGGGAGGCCAAAAACTGACCCGCCTTGCAGCAGCAATGGCGACTTCACCAAATGCAGCCCGAACTCGACATGTTTCCACACTCAATGTCGAGAGATACAACAACACAAACAACACTTCGGCCACCGACGTCGACCACGGCTTTCCTCCGTACTACCCTCCCAGACCCCGAGGTGGAGATGATCGAGGCATGAGTCCGTCACATAGACCCCTTTCGCCTGACGTTGCTGTTGCTGTGAATCGGTCGAAAGAAGAAGCCGACAGGGGAAGGGAAGACGCTGTAGCAGCTGCACGTCGCGATCGAGACCGGAGTCGAAACCGAGACCACCGAGACCACCGTCATTCAACTGCTGCCGAGCGAACCACTGCCGAGTCCGGGTCTCCGAGACGTCGCGACAAATCCCAGGACCGCGATAGGGAGAGATCGCGCCGTCATTCCCAGTCCTCGTCAAGACGCCACAGAGAACACTCTCGAGACCGCACCCAAGATAGAGACAGAGAGCGGAATCGTGACCGCGACCGTGGCCACGCGAGGGACCGCGATTCTGATCGTGTTTCGCATCACTCGCGGCGTTCTGACCGTTCGCGGGAGAGGAAGGACCACCGCTCGCATCCCGAAAGCTACTATCGCCCCTCGTCACGCTCGCCTTCGTCGAGGAAGCGACACAGAAGCAGGAGTCGTTCTCGTGGCGACTCGGAGCACAAAAAGTCTCGACGGACTAAGAGTCCTCGACGAACTGACGATTCTTCCACAAAGAGTGCGCATACCTCAAACGCTCAGCCTTCTCGCTCCCACCGCGACCGTTCTCCACCTCCGAAACGAGCTCCGTCGCCCTATCGTCGCGACGGACATCCAGAAGCCCGGGACTCGAGGAGGTCGGGTCGAGCAGCGAGCCCGGACCGTCGAGCCACATCGCGTTCTCGCAGCCAGCGACGACCGTTATCCAGGAATCGCGACCGAGAGCTCCTCCCACATTTTGCAGCGCGGACCCACTCCGGACGACGTAGTAAGTCACCGGCAACATCCAACAGTCATCCCCAGTCAGCTTCACGGCGTGCAAGTCCCGTTCACAGGACCAGCCGGCCACCGACTGCGTCCGATCTCCCCTCTCGGCGACGCCCCACTCCCACCCCAAACCTTGCAGGCGATTCACGCAACTCTTCTCGCCCTGGCAGTCGGGACCAAAAGAGCACTGGAAGTCGACGTCCAAGTCAGGGGACCCCTCATTCGTCTGGCAAATTCGATCCAACCTCTGGTGCGAATAACGTCGAGGTCAATATGGCTGGTCGGGGAGGTTTCCGTGGAGGTTATAATCCCTATTCTCACAACTCGGGGCATGGCACCCCAAACTCTTCATATCACGGCTCGCCCACTGGCCCAGCACATTCTCCATTCGGTGCCAATGGCCGTGGCTGGTCCAACCCACAGCCTTATTCACCACAGCAGTAAGTCGGAAACTTCACCCATCCAATGTCCCTACTAGTCCAAGGTCGTTCATGTTCGCTAACACAATCCGTGCCAGACAATATCCACCTCAATATTCCCAGGGCGGCTATGCAGCCCCTAGCGGACCGCAAGCATCATACCCAAGTCACTCACCTCCCTATCCCCCAACTGGCCCTGCTGCCCAGTTCTCCCAAGGTCCCTCCTACCGCGGCAGAGGAGGGCCTGGAGCTTTCCGAGGAAACCAGTTCGGTCCAGGCCGAGGGGGAACACATCGCGGCGGCTTCAAGAACCCTCAATGGACCCCTGGCGGTCCTGGCGCTGGAAGGGGTCAACATGCACCAAGTATAGGTGACGCGGTTGACCTCTCACAACCTGCCCCTGATCGCAAGGGTAGCTCGCACTCTGGTGGCGACGCCAATGATCCCAATAGCGACAACCCCTTCCGACCGTCAAAGGATCTCCAGGTTGAGGATACGAGCAAACCTTCGTCAACGACCGACGAACAGATGCCTCCCCCAAACCGAGCACCGCCGAGCGGTCCATCCTCCGCGTCAAAGTTCAGCTTTGCCTTCAAGGCATCCACCAAGCCCGTCGTCGCCGCTCCCAAGCCCGAAGTAGCGTCCAAATTCAACGCCGTTCCTCCGCGTCAACCACAATCACAATCCCATTCACAGTCGCAGCACAGTAGCGACAGGGACAGAGATCGGCGAGATCTTCCACGAGGGGTCCCAACCGAGCCGGCGTCTTCTAGGTCACGCCGTGGCGATGACAGGCAACATCACCAACAACAACAGCCCCGTGCTGAACCACCGCCACCTCGAGTGCGGATGGTCAAGAAGACCATGAAGCGTCTAAAGAAGAAGACCCCCCTCGACCCCGAGCTCGCCTCATCAGACTCGGTCTACTTCCGAAAACCTGGCGACAAGTCGGTTATCGGCTCCGGCACTTACGGCAAGGTTTTCAAGGGCCTGAACGTGTACACCAAGAAGCTCGTCGCCCTCAAGAAGATCAAGATGGAGGGTGAGCGGGACGGTTTCCCCGTCACGGCCGTGCGAGAGATCAAGCTCCTCCAGTCCCTCAAACACCTCAACATCGTCAACCTTCAGGAGGTCATGGTCGAGAAGAACGACTGCTTCATGGTCTTCGAGTACATGTCCCACGACCTCACGGGTCTGCTCAACCACCCCTCCTACAAGCTCAACCCCGCCCAGAAGAAGGACCTGGCCAAGCAGATGTTCGACGGCCTGGACTACCTCCACAAGCGCGGCGTCCTCCACCGCGACATCAAGGCCGCCAACATCCTCGTCAGCAGCGACGGCATCCTCAAGCTCGCCGACTTTGGCCTCGCGCGCTTCTACGCCAAGCGCCACCAGCTGGATTACACCAACCGCGTCATTACGATCTGGTACCGCTCGCCCGAGCTGCTTCTGGGCGAGACGCAGTACGGTCCCGCGGTCGACAACTGGAGCGCCGCCTGCGTGCTGGTCGAGATCTTCACCAAACACGCCATCTTCCCCGGCAACGGGACGGAGGTCGACCAGCTGGAGAAGATCTATGCGGTACTCGGCACGCCCAACAAACAGGAGTGGCCCAACCTGCCGGAGATGCCGTGGTTCGAGCTGCTCAGGCCGAATTACCGGAAGGCGAGCACGTTCGCGGAGAAGTACAAGGAGAGGCTTACGCCCGCCGGGTATGACTTGCTGTGTCAGCTGTTCCGGTATGATCCGGCCAAGAGGCCTACCGCTGCCGAGGTGCTGGAGCATGCCTACTTCACGAGCGAAGAGCCGGCTCCGAAGCAGGCCATTGAGTATGTTCCCGTTCCCTTCCCACTTCCTCATTTCCCTCTCCCTTGCCCTCCACCTCCTCTACGACCTTTACTAACAACAACCCCCAGACTCCAAAACCTAGACGGCGACTGGCACGAACTCGAGTCCAAGGCGCTCAGGCGGGAAAACGAGCGGATACAGAAAGAGGCCAAGAGACAAGCCGCCAAAGATGCGGCCGCTGCTGCCAGGGATGCACCTGCTCCTCCTCCCCCAGAGCAGCAGCAGCAGAAAGATAAAGACAAGGAGGGCAGCAGCAGGAAGAGGCCCAGCAGCGAAAACGACCCGCAGCGAGAGGCGAAGAGGCTGCACGTCCCCTCGCCGACGAAATCTTCCGACCAGAAGTAGACCTTTGGCGGACTCGCAGCCGGGTCGAAGGAGAGACGAAAAGTCGGTCGTTAGTAACGCAGCGTGGGAGGAATCGAGGTATTTGAAGGGTTGGGATGCATGAGCATATATGGCGTTGAGGAGTAACCAAAAACCGGGGTTGTCGCCCAGCAGGGATTTAGACCATTGGTTGGTTCTTGGGAAGATGCAATTCCCCGATCAGCAGGCGGAACAAAAGGATAGGCCTGCTGGGACCAGCGGAAAGGGGACAGGCTGATTGAACACAAGTTGGACGATGCGGGTTTGTTGGATTTTCGACGTGTCAGTTAGATGAGGGAGTCGGATTCGTGGACCACGGAATTTTTATACCTTCGGGTTTCTTCTGTGTCCTGGAGCAGATATTCTGGCAGGCTGGCGCGGTTTCGTGCTTTTTTCCCTACCTTACCTACCCTCTATAGCGGTGCGAAGAAGGCTAGGTTTTCTCACCTCTTGCATGGCGACTGGACAGGGAACAGCGGAACATGTTATGATATTGTTAGATGGGACGAAGAAGCGAAGGCGGCTGGCTGCAATTTATACGAATGAGCATCATGGGTTTTGTACATCATAACTATCCTATAGACTCTTGATGGGAGCCTGTCAGTCTAATGGGATCACGATTGAGAGTCTAATGCCTAGACTAGACCTAAACACATACCTGGTTGTGAACTTTTCCAGGGTCAGACTGGATGCTCGAGCCTTCGGGTCCATGGTGAGACTTGTTCGGGAGCAAGTGGAAATAAATATAAGGCAGTGTGCCAGAGTGGTTAATGGGTATGACTCGGAATCATATGGCTTCGGCCGCATAGGTTCAAATCCTGTCGCTGTCGTTTCCGTCGAGAGGTGGAATGACTCGCGAGATTTGTCTCATCCTCGTTTTTGCCGGTTATGGGACCTTTCCTGAGGGACGACAACATGACATATACTCAAGCGTGACTGTCCGGGAGGCATTGCCCCTGTTTTGCTGTTTGGTTGATATCGGGGCGGTGGGCTGGTCCAGATCGAGCACGAACGTGCTCACCCAGGCAGGTGATATACTTCCAATGTCTCTCTTCATCACTCCGGTCGACACCATCTCACGAACCTTTTGCGAGCATAGTAGTCGAAACTTGCCATATCATATGCGAAGCGAAAAAGACAGTCCTGACCGCCGGGATAGGGACATACACAATCCTGCCTGGATGGTATAGAGGAGTAGGTGTCCCTCACACTTCGAAGCAGATTCCCAAACCACCACATCAAACAAAAAAGAGACATCCCACTTCCAATGAAGAGAGACGAATCTATATAGAGTATGCGGTTTGTGTGGATCGAACACACGACCTTCAGATGTAACTGGTTACTGGTGTGTTAACTTGGTGAAGTTTTGACTTCAGTCTGACGCTCTCCCAACTGAGCTAAACCCGCCTCTTTTATTTGAATAGAGACAGAAGGACAGTCTCGACTCATGTATGGTATGGAAGATCTGAGCTTAGCTGCCTCCGGTGCATGAGTATGCTCTGTCGAGCTGCATGCATGTAGGTCATGACTCGACGGATGGAGGACGGGAACGGGGCGATGTGATGGGGTTGGGTTGGCGACGATATGGTGGGTTGAGGTGAAAGGGGGTAGGGGACACCGGCGTATCATTATAGGGTAAGTAATTCAACTGCCTGTTATGAACAGGTTTGTGAGGTAACGCACGGGAGAGCTGATATGCCTGGGCGGTGTGATGTATGGTCCAGTCCTGGGTATCTTAAGGCTTGGAGGATGTGTGAGGTCTGGTCCACACGTGTCTTCACCTGCTCGGTTCATGACGAGGTAGTGATACCCTTACATGACACCCGTATTGCAGTGTCTTCAAGAGTAGTAGGCGGCGCGTACATGATCTTGTATGGGCTGCAGCGAGCTAGAAGTGCGAGATTTAGACGAGTTCTCATAGAGTTGGTATAGTTCTTGGAGTTTCCTGTGATCTTCCTCTGCATCCATTAGATATGGTAACCCAGAGGGGTCTCAATGACAACCGATTTATATGATAAGTATTAACGGGTCTCAGGGGCATCGGCATCTGTTGGGCTGAGAACCCGAATCGGACAATCCGGGGTATCAAAGGTATGCGTCAGTCCTAGGGAAAGCGGCGTACATAAAACATGGGCGCAAGATCACGTCTAGGGCTTTTCTCGACATTATCAGCTGGGCGAACTCGTCAGTGTTTAAGCGTTGGCAGCGAAGGCTTCGAGAAAAGGTCTACGAGCCGTCATGTGATGGGCAGTCGGCGGAAATAGGACAGGATCGTTAGACGCATTTGAGTAGTGTATATAGGTTCTTTAAATATAGTACTCCACTCTCACGGAGACCAGACGACACCTTGATTCGCTTCACGTGATACCCCGTAGTTCAACCTCGCTCTCTCGCCTCAGCAATGCATCACTACCAGGTCGCCAATTAACTTCGACAGGGAAAGATTGCCTTTGAGCACCTTGCCTAGCTTGATAAACTACATCTCACTTTTACCTTTCCCCTGTCCGAGCACGCTGGTTACTCAAATATAAGTCCGATAGGTTTCCCACTTCAATGTCGCCACTTTCAGAGCACATCCATAACCATTCCTGATTAGCCTGGCCAAGTCTTTAAGCTCCTAACAACCACCTTGCTAAATCACGAGCACCACCTATCATAGACAAGTCAAACTCTTGCCCGGTATGCAGTTCTAAGAACGTCAGGGTCTAAGGACATGTGGTTCACGTTTAAGTCCTAATGACATTCCCGACAACAGGCAATAGTTCCGAATAGGCATAACGGCCAAACAGCGTAACCTCTTTCAGGACATGAGGCAGTTGCTTTCGACTCTTTCTTTTATAGATCTAGTCTAAATATGTGGACGGTCTTCGACTCCTAGTGGCGGCAAAGGATCATCTCATGCCAGAGCCGTCTAGTCTCGAGATGCAGCCAGTCTCGTCTCAGCTGGCACCTATAACTCCCTTCTCCCATTTCCTGATTGTTTGACCCAATGGAACTTGTACGCACCAGAATTCCAAGTCATAGTACTCAACGGTATGAGACTGCTGTTTCTCATCGCCGTGACGGCCCTCGTCGCCGGCATTGAGGCCGCACAGGGTGTGCATAGAAGGGCCCCAGCCCGAACATGCGCACCAAGACCGACTCAAAGCAGCCTACTTCGCAATCGCAAGCGAGCGGGAGACTGTGCTCCAGACCCTTGCGTTGATGGTGAGAACAGCCCTGCAAAGTCGAGACACTCGGCCTATACGTAGCAGTCAACTAACTGGTGTCACCAACACAGCTGTTCTTACGTCGGCACAGGGGTTGTGCACAAGGCTGGGTGATGTAGACTGTGCCTCTTACTTCGTAACGACTCTTACGCCGGACGCTTCGTACGTGTCTGTCCTATTATTGAACCAACTGTGAAAAAGGATCTGTTTTATCCGTTTCTAACAACCACTCATACAGGACTGCCTACATAACCGTCTCGGTTTACGACAATTTAACAGCCACAGACAACATTACGATAACGACAACTGTTTTGGGAACAGAGACTGAAATAGTCGACAAGGCACGATCAAGAAGACCCTATTTTTGGTACCGATAGGTTGTTCACTGATGGGCAATGCCTGGCTAACATTTGGGTCGCATTCATCCAGACTGCTACCACTACGGATCTAACCACATCGACGATCCCACTCGAGCACACGGCAACACTTACTACAATACAGACCACTGTCGTCGATGAGACGGCTACTGAAACAACGGACAAGGCAAGTTCCTACGCGCAAGAACGATGCGGATGCCGTGGTAGCATGCTAACAGCTCTGCTATTCAAACAATAACCACAACAACCTCAGCAACGCTGCTCGTACCACCTGCCAAAAGAAAGAAGAAACGGGCGATTGCGAATAGCATCCCTTATTACGCATCGGTCTGCGGAGGAGAGATCAACTACTCGAGCGCGTGTTCTTGCGCCGGAGTCACGGCCGGCACTGTTTCTGCCACCGTGACCCCCGTGATCACCATTACTGTCTCTGAGACCTACACGACGACCACGGAAATACGGACCACCACCGTGGAAACTGAGTCCAGCACTTCATCAACGACAGAAACCACGAGCACTACAGTATCCACCGAGACGGCCACAGCGACCCTCTACGCCCAGGGCCCCTTTTACCTCTACATCCAGGATGAAACCCCCGCGAGCGGGAGCCAGGCTTCGGTAATGGGCCACTACGTGACGCAAGATTTCGTACCAAATGGTGGGAATGGCTCCGCCTCAATGTCTTGGGTCGGGTTCGCCGCGACGGACCGCAGCTCGGCCGGGCAGTACTACATCGAGTCGGACGGCTATTTGCGTCCTGTGGCGGCACCCCTCGACGACAGTTACTACTTCTTCTATGCGGAAACGGCCGCTGGCAGTGTCTTCTACTTGTGGGCAAACAGTACCGTCCGGGCACCCGAGTTCGCGCTTGAGTCCGACATCACGCCCTTGGCCTGCAGCGTCATGGCAGGGAGCACCGCCCTTGTGTGTGGCGGCGACAACGTGTTCGGGCTCGAATGGCTCGACTGTAACCTCCGTGGCGCTTTTGGAAGCGATGATCTAGGAGCGACTGGTCTCGGCCCCTGCAAAAAACTTGTCGTTGCCGCAATCCCCGTGTCGGAATCTACAACAATCGCAACCGTGTCCGCCAGCACCACTGCTACCACCACCACTACTGTCACGAACACGGCTACCTCGACGGCCACAGAAGTGAGTACTTCTCTCTTGCCCGCACCGACAGACGCTGCCACCCCACCATTCTACTTGAGAGCCCAGTCCTTCACCCAGGCCGTGAGCGCCCGCAGCGGCGCCGCCGCGAACAACGCGAGCCTCGAAGCGCGGCAGGTAACGGACTTCACGGGCCAGTACATCGGCCTCGTCTGGGTAGATCCCTACAACCCGGCCTACGGCTGGACATGGGTCGCCCAGTCCTTTGCCACCTCGCCCGCGACCCGGTTCTACATCGACTTCCAAGGTTACCTACGTCCCTACGACTCGCCCGTGAGGGACGGCGGAGACGAGGTGTACATGTGCTTCCATGACTCGGACACCGTGCCGACACAGGTGCTTGCCATGCAGTACGGGTTCGCGGTTGCAGGCCGGGAGCTGCTGGACTGCACCATCTCTGCTGTGGAATGTTCTCTCGTGCGGATCGCTGTCTAAAGGGGGCAAGCAGGTCTTCCACTGGGCTGGCTATGGCGGTCTCCAGGCGGCGCGTCCGGGCAACGCATGGGGCCTACCCGCTATTGTTTTCGAGACGGTTTTTGGGGCGGCAACTACATCCACCTCCACGACCGAGAGCTCTAGCTCTTCAACTACTTCCTCTGAAACCTCCCGGACTGAGATCGAGACGTCCACCTCCTCGACGTCCTCAGCCACACCCACACAAACCGACTCTTCACCATTCTACCTCCGGGTCCGGTCCTTCTCACCGGTCCCCGTGAACAACCGCGCCCGCAACGCCGCCGCCGCCGCCGCAGCCAACAACAACACGACGACCCTTGAAGCGCGGGGGCTTGTGCCGGCGGACGTCACGGGCCAGTACGCCGTCCTCGCGTGGGAACCCTACAACGTAAACAGCGGCTGGCAGGCCAAACTCACGCCCTTCACCGCCTCCCCCGGCGTCCTCGCGGGCCAGTTCTACATCGACGGCCTCGGCAACCTGCGGCCCTTCGTCACGCCCCTGGGCGACGGCGAGGACCCCGTCTACCTCGTCTACGCCGACCGGGCCACGCCGGCGCCGATCGAGGTCCTGCAGCGCGGGATGGCGGTGTACTATGGCCGGACGTTCCTCGACTGCTCCATCTCCAGTGATGCGACAGGGAACGTGCTCTCGTGCGGATCGCGGTCGACCAACGGCAACAGCGAGTTCTTTTACATATCTGTGTCGACGGGCATCCAGTTCTCGCGGCCGGGCAACACGCACGGATATCCTTCTATTGTTCTGGAGGCGGTTTTTGTGCCGGTCTGATATCGGAGCACGTGTGTTCTTCGGGAAAGCGTGACCTGAGGAAAGTGATAATGACCAAAGAGGGCAGAGACCTTCACACTTTATGTAGCGTTGTGAAAGACTGTCGGACGTCACCGCGATGACTGACGACTAATGGGCAAGTTGGAACAAGCTTCTCGAATGCAGAATCGCAAGACCTACACTTCCACGTCGTCGTGAATGGTAGCTCGTGGCAAGACTTTTTCGCGCTGAAGGTACTACCCGTCTTACCGGGCAGCAGAATAGACTAACGATCGTCGAAGCCCAAGCCAGAAGATCGACAGCTGTTTCAGAGACCAATCAATGCCGGAGAGAGGGCTAGAAGCGTGTAGTTCTGCGATCCTTTAGTGATACAGATGATGTATGTTCACCTCGTCACTGGCTATGTCTTGT